TTTATTTTTATTGGTCAGTATTGTTCGTTGTGTTGCGAACTGATTTGGTTAAGCTTGACCGTATAACCAGGTTTACCCAGATCATGTTGCAACCCTCGGGTTGCTAACCTTGTTACACCTACAAGCTTAACTTGTAGTGTCACCTCATTTTTGTTTTGCCCTGGTTGCCTTAAGCACCAGTTTTACTTACTTTTTGTTTTGCCCTGGTAGCCTTCAGCTACAGAGTGGTATTTTACTTGCAGAATATATAGATTGTTTTTGTAGTTCGTAACTACCAAAAGGGTTGTAAACCCAAGTGATCACTTCGGTATTATTTTTGGTATTTATCCTAAACACAAGTATAATCACTTATTGCGTTATTTTAAATTATATATCAGTAATAAACCTTTAGTTATATCTATTTCGTGATTTTCTCTTTCTACGTTTTAAGGGCCACTTAAATCACGTGGCGCCTACGAACATCCCTTTATAACCCACACCCCTGAGCAACTATAGAGTCGGGCAGAGCCCTTAAAACTAGATATTATTTTAGATAGCGCCCACTGAAAAGTGAACCGTGACAGTGTTTCTTGAAAATGACCCATATACTAGCTACTATTATAATGTTCTTTAAAAACCGGAGGTTATACTAAATTTTGTTATAAATAGAAATTATGTTAATATTATTTTAATTTACTTAATATTATTTAATTTACTATAGTAAATATTTCAAAAAAATAAAAAATTGTTATCTTCCGAACATGAAGTTATTAGCGAGTTATTAGGGCATGTATAATTATAGGATTTGGAATAAAAATGCATATTTTGATAGATCATTTATTTATTGTCTTGCCCGTAGGCTTTGGATAAAATTGGATTACATCAGTCAAGAGTGAACTCATTAAGACGGACAAAATCAGTGGACGATCTCTCCATTGATATGCGATTTGTCTTTTTAGTGTGACGACTGTTACAGCATAGAATATACACTGTAAAAAACTGTCATCGACTATTTAAAGACCTTTTGATATTGATTTTTTACAGTGTATATCCCGATGAATTTTTTTAAATAGATAACCAAAATGGTTAATATACAAAAGTTGATTAACAAAGTATATGGGGAACATTTTTAAGCAGTACAAGCTCAAACTATCGTTTTTAGCAGTAAATTAACGGAAAAGTGCCTACAAATTTAGCAACACAAAGCAAGTTTTGCATTAACTTTAATTCGTCTCAAAATTTCAAAAAATTAAAGCAAAAACTTGCCCTATTAGTTCCAACATAAACTCTTGGGTTCGCTAGAATTACTGAATATGTAATGATAGTATAAAGATATCTACAAATTAAACCGCCAAAATATTGTTAACTACACAAAATGTGGCACAGAATAATTCAAAACCATCGCAAGAAAATTAGAACACACCCAAAATTTATTTTTTAATAAAACCTACAAGGCATTACGTTTATAGCAATTACGTAACTTTGGGCACATTTTAAAAATCATTAGATTTTTTTGAACTGCTCTGTGCTTTTTGGTTTGACTTTATTTTCCTAATTTAATAAAAAATCTCCTCGCTACATTTTTGCTCGATGTTTTCTGTACATTTTTAAATATTATCGGTATAGTCGAATGGTTAATTATATTACAATTTTCGTACAAATATATATTTTTTGTAACAATTTTTTTTGTAAGCTTTCAAGAATTAAATAGTTTTTATTTCAAGACAGGTTTTATAATGTAGAATATTCTTTTAAGAATTTGTGTATGGCTTAAGGGAGGTTGGTACGCTGAAATAGTCTTTTATTACTTAAAAAAATATACAAGTTGTTAAGTCATTCTTGAAAGCTTGACAACCCAAAAACAATAAAAATTTCTGTCCGCTTGTAAGAATTATATCAGCAAGCGAAGTAAATTTAACGGTATGCACATTTGTTTCGTTAACAAAAAAAACTAAAAACAGCAGTATATTTTTTACAGGGCTGAAATTGTTTTTCTTGGATGAATGGGTAAACACTGAAGTGGCAATTTTGTGTCCATATTTTTGATTTTTTCCAAAAAATATGTACGTTCAAATCATGATTTTTTAAACTTTGTTATACGTTTAAAAGTAAAGTCAAAACACAAATATGGTTTTAAATTCTTATGAATTATTTCGTAATAATGAAAAAAAAAAACAATTTATAGTAGGTACTAAAATTAATAGTATAGTATAGTGTTAAGAATTTAAATAAAATATTTTTATATAAGTTTTGACTTTAGATTAAAATTTTACCAAATATAAAACTCGACATTAAGTACAAAATAACCTAGATTTAAGTGTTTTATAAACATACTTAAGTACAAATATTGTATACAACACGTATACTGCCTTCAAACAGTATTTATAAACTTAATTAATAATAAAAAATATAGACACATAACATATACACACCCTGTCGACATAAAAGTATATCACATGCAATTTAACAATGATTAAGACTAAACAATATAATAATATTGTACAATAAATATTTCATATACATCATAAATTTACATAGTATTTTTTATTTATTTTTTAACATGATCATATATTCCGATATATATAATTTAAGTTCAAGTAAAAAAGCAGGTTTCAATTCCAATGAAGCATTTTTTTCATATACGGAGTGTTCAGAAGCAACCGTTGCAATTTTTTGTTAAATTTGTTCGTTGTTTATACAGGAAACTGGGGATTAAAGAATCGTTGGATTTACAGGGAAGACAAATATTTTACTAGAAAATTAAATTTAAACTTAATTTGTGGCCCTTATGTAACTTTGGGCATAATTTAGCAAAGTCAAGTCTTTTAAAGTCATAAACCCAAAGATACATGGAATAATTTTTTTATCATACCTCAATACTAAAAATTATCGGGTGATATTTACTGCATTTAAAAAGTAGAAATTCAAAAATATAACTTGACTTAATATAGGCAACTAACATAACATGATCAATACCTATATTTTCATCAACAAAAAATAATTTTGCTGTTTTTTCGGTATGATAAAAAATAATTTATTACAGGTCTGGAGTTGTCCAAAAGTCCAATTTGGAAAAAAGGATAACAAAAAAGTTCGTTTTTCATTTTGTGTCCTGTAAAAACGCGAAGAAGTCCGAACCTCCGTACACCGTTTTACATAATATTTGGATATGATTTTTTATAGGTGACACTATTCATATATGTGCGCATGTCTACACGAGTTCTTCTCACTTCTCTTAAACTACTATAGTTGCTATAATTTTTTGCTTTTTTCTACTAAATCGGCTAGATTTTTATTTCTTCATTTAATTTTATATGCACCGGTATTATATCTGATATATTTTTTTAATTTCTTAACAATTTTTTCGTCGAGACCCAAAGTATTTTCGATATACAATTTATATTTCTGCTTTTTTGGCCCAACGTTTATTATGAGATATAGTCATAGGTATATTTTACATTACAAGGGCTCATATCTCGAACATACTCTGGTCAATTTTAAATTTTTAAATATAATTGTCTTTAGATTAATGGAATAACATTGTAACACTTTTATCCTTGGGCTGGTGGGACACTTTCTCACTGAAAAATACCAAAGAAATAAAATACAAAATACTTGTAGCATTTCAATTGATCAAAAACTGAATTGTACCGAAAAATTAATGCTACAATATGCCACTATTTTTTTTAACGTATTTCAGGCTGCTAAACTCAAAAATCACAATATTTGTTTTTGAAGGTAGTTTTACAGTTTGGGTTATATCTCGGCCAATCTGGTTTAAAAAGGTACAAACTGTAATTTCTAATAAAATTGGTAAATTACACTTTCCAAGAAATGGACAACATGCATTTCATATACGGTAAGGCCAATGGTAGCGAAGCTCAAAGATTGTACCAATGAAATTGGCACTTTTAAAGTAATCAGTTACCGCTAATCCTGGGACAAGTACTAGAATTGCTATGAAAGATGACGTTCCAAAAAGTACAGTTTGGTAAATAATGCACGAACCTATCATTTATAAAGAGTACAAGCTTTAAATCCATAAGATCTTTCAAGTAGACTAGAATTCTATCGATGGATAAGAACAAAATGGCATGAAGACCCCAACTTTATTGAAAAAATTATTTTTACCGACGAAGCCGGATTCAATATAGATGGAATTATTAATTTTCATAATAGTCAAGCATGGGCTGATAAAAATCCTCATGCCTTTATTAAATCAAGGCTCCAGCAAAGATTTTCTATCAACGTTTGGGAAGGAATAATTGTCCTCACGTCTTATCAAATCGACTGAACGGTGAAACATACTTGTATTTTCTCCAAAACGTTTTCATAAACCTCCTTGATGACTTGCCCTACCATATGAGATGGTCGATGTTTTTTAAGTATGATGGCGCCCCATCCCATTTTTCTTCGAACGTAAGGAAACATTTAGATGAAGTTTACGCCGCCTGATGGATAGGACGAGGAGGGCCAATTCGGTGGCCGCCTCGTTCTCCAGATTTAAATACACTTGACTTCTGTGTGTGGGGATATTTAAAATCATTGGTGTATGCAGTCCCAATTCTTAACGTTGAGAAATTAATGCCGCGGGTTGTTAATGCTTGTGAGCATTTACTAAAATAAAAATTGTTGAAAATTGAAAATAAGTTGTTGTACTGTATCTTAGATAATTCAAAAATGGTGGCATGGAATTGGCATACAATCTTTTACAGCATTTCTTAAACTAATTTAGTTTTTGATCAAAACACCAAACATCTTCTATTAGGAAAGGATTAACAAAAGTAAAATGTGCTATCAATGAATCTACGAAAGATGGATGACATATTTGTTCGTTTTTAACAGAAAAAAAAACATTTTTTATTAAATTGTAAAACAACTTGTATTATACCAATCCGAAACCTAGTAGACTCATGTTATCATACAGGGTTTTCAAAAATAGTGCTATTTTTTCTGTTACACAAATAGGTTACTTCTACAATTGATATTAAAAACCCAAATTTAAAAGACAAACTATCATTCTAAACAAAAATTAATTTTGTTGAAAATTGAAATTTTATAATGTTTGTACATCATATTAACCATAAATGATTTTTGTTTAGTAATCATAGTATCACAAAGTGCCAATCAAAAAAATAACCACACAATTAAAAAAAAGCGTTTTCGTACCTATGATGAGTGGAAGAAACTTCGTGTTTTTGAACGCAGTTTGTTTGAGTGGACGGACAAAATAAAACTTTGTGAAGGCAGGAACAGGGATTTTAAGGAAGTTAGAAACAAAAAGCTTAAAATTATCAACTTATACTTCATAAAAAGAAAAATGCATTTCCGTGTTTAAAGTTAAAAAAAAAAGTTAAAAGTAATTTAAATATGTTTTAAAAATGTGCTACAAATAACCACGGAAATATTCAACAGGAAAGCTTTATTAAGTTTGTATTTTTTTTAGTACATTTGCTTTTTGTTTATAAGCTGAAGCGATGGTTTGAAAAATCTTCTACGAAACAAAAACTGCTCTCCTGAAAAATGCAAAATAAAGTAGATCTAAATAAAAAGTAATATTAAGTTTACATAGAGAGAATAAAACACAATTTAATTTCTTAAAGTTTTACCAAATTTTATGATCACTTATTTTAAGGGCTTAAAAACTGGTTTCTAAACCTATGGTGGCAGGTTGTTTGTTTAAAAGTCCTACGGGCTTAAGATACATTTAAAGATCATGTCAAGCTCATCTTTTGTTTTATTTCCATAACAACCAATATCTCTAAAACCGTAAGACTAAAGGTTAGGGTGTGCAGGATTCAATTTTGGTATTAAATTCTCTCCCTGTTCGTAACAAGAACACAACAATAATAATGAAAATTATAATAAAAAGGTAGAAGTGGGAAGTGAATGATCGTGTAGAGGAGGATCTGTCAGAGTCAGTTTGTTTAATATTTGAGGGAGTCTAAGCTAGCGACTGAACCGGGCCTGGATTGAGCTAGAGGAGGTTGTCCACTAACCAGGGATGTGGTTCCGAACAACTTGTACCAGCCGATGACAATGTTGCTCAGGTTTAGGTCGTCTAGCATTATCTGCGCCACGCCCATGAACACTTTTTTACCCTCGATTCGCCCGTAGTCGCCCCAAACGGTCACCTAAAAAAAGATAAAGAGATTTTATAAACACCAAACTTTAAGAAATACCATACCTGAAGTATACAACCCGTAAAATTCTCTCTAAACGCTAACTGTTGCTGATACAACGGATCTAAAGTTCTTCGTGCAGTCGATGTTTTTGCTTTTGCTATACATTTTTTACCATTAACCAAGTACACTTTAACGTAAGGTGCTAGAAAAAACATTGTAAACCCCAAAAATCCTCTAAAATTTATTACTCTAGATACCTGGTAACACTTTAGATCCAGCTCTGGATTGCAGACCCCTAGCTCTGATTACCTCGACTTCCAGAAAGCCTTTTTGGTAGCACAGAGAAAGTTGGATGTCTCCTAAAGCCGGAGCTCCTAGGACTTGCCTTCCGACAAGCTGCCCAGGACCTAGACCATCTATAAACTCGGCCAGTTGACCACCTTCACCTGCTAGTCTCAAGGAAGGAGACCACCTGGTAAAAATGTAAGAGAATTTAAGGAAAACATTTAGAGGTTAAGTTTTTGGAGATTATATTAAAGTTTGGGCATCATAGATGTAGGCCTATACAATCTGAACAATCTGGTAATAAGAAGTTACCAACTTTAATATAATCTCCAATTAATTTAATAGTAGATATATCTGCAAAAGATAAAGCCAATACACTTTAAAAAACATTCTTGGATGAATTTTTCAAAGTATATATTTTTAAAGATAACTAACATTCCTAAAACCTTTAATAAAAAGATTTTATGAGCGTTATATTGATTTGATTAGGTATATATAGAGCATACACACATAGATGTACATAGAGAGAGATAGAGAGTAACCGGGCCAAAACTAAGCTACTATTTTGGTGATATTTAGGTGATAAGTATATTGGTGTAAAAACCGTGCCGTTATACGGTGCTGATTACTTAAATTAAAATTCATGCATAAAATAGGGTCTGCATATCTTTAGAAACTACAAACATCGATATATTTGTTAGTTTTTTTTATTCAGATTAAGTTCTAGGTTTATTTTTTTCGTTTTTATTTAGGTTTTTGCATGCTTAAAAGTCAAACGAATACATACCAGAGACAGTAGAGCATTCACCGTATGATTTAGGCAAAGCTGTGGTAATAGAATAAGAGGGCCAGTCCAAAGTCATGCTATGCTATTTTAAAATTTGCTTTGCATATTATAATCCTTACCTTTGTTTTTACAAAATTTTATAATTTTTAAAACAATTTCATGTATTCTAAAATTTATAAATTAGTTTTTAGTACCAACGTTTACTAAGAACATATGTCCAAATATTTCTGAGACACCGTGTAGTGGCGTAGTTGATTAAAAAAATGCCATTCAAGGACAAAAATCTTGTTTTAATTATAATTGTATACTTTTAATATGCAAAAACAAATTTTAAACAAAAATAAATATATTTGAATTTGTTGTAAATTAAAAGTACTGTTTATTCTTTTAAATATAAAGTTGTCTTCAACATCTGTTAAACTTATAATAATTTTTAAACGTTTTCTAAATACTTATGAAATGCCTGGACGAATTTACATATTTTATATTTTTATTAAACCTATTTATAATACAAATATTGCAATTTAACTAAAAACTTACGTTTAGAATTTTATGTAAAATATGGTTTGTTAATTTATCTTAAATATTTTGTAAAATTATATATTTTAACAAAATTTTGCCAAATTTTACCAAAATCCAAAAATATTATATATTTTAAACAAATATCGAATTTTCTTGGATTAACCAGTACAATACTATTTTTTTCTACGACCACTATGTGAAGGTCACGTTTCGTGTTGGCATCGTTGCATTTTAAAATTTGTATTGTATTTGTAAATATCATTTAGAACACAATTAATTGTGTTTGTATAATAAATTCTAATTTTGAGTGCCTTTATTTATATTGAGAAGGTAAGTTTATTGATTTTAAGTAACTTATACATTAAAAATTAAAAGAATAAGATGAAAGTAATTTTAACACAGCTGTCAAACACGTTTTTAGGTTATTTTGTTTTGTATTTAAGTATAATAAAAAACAAAAGGGTCGTAGAAAAAATTCGTGTTTTACTTGTAAGAAAAGCTTTCTTTAAGCTCGTGTTAATGCACACTCGGCCTAACGGCCTCGTAAGCAACTTAAACACTCGCATGAAAAAGTCGCTTTTCAAAACTTGTAAAACAAATAACTATTGTTTTACATTTTTAAATTTATTAAAAAAACATCTATTAAGAAAAAATATAATTTGTTATAGAACTCAAAACAATAATGGTACGCAAAAAAAAATCCTATTTTAGAATTATAAAAAGTACCTTTAATTCACCCTGAAAAAAATAAATGCATCAAAAATAGTACAGCCAATGTAATAAAGAGAATAACACAATCCAAAAAGGGCAGGCGGCTTGGACAACAAAAAACCAAGACAAAAAAATAATCCTTATCACAAGATATGTTGCAATATCGATTTGAATCACACATGTCACGGGCGATTCATTTTCATTGTCACTACTTACGAAGATGCTTCCGAACTGCTGATGGAATTTAGGCTCGAAGCCCGCTGGCTGCTGTCCGAGGACCTGGTCGGAATGGTGGGCACCACCTCCTGCGACCGCTGAATGCTGCTGGCGGAGCTCGTCGATACGCGCTTTCTATTGTACGATGCGCCGTCTGCGTAAGTCCATCAAACGTTTTTAGTTTTCGAGTTTTATAGAACGTGGGGTTTCATCTATTTTACCCACTTTTACATACTTATACTTATAAATTATACACTACCTAACCAATATGAATGTTATGTTAGTTTTGAATAAAGTTTCCTGTGGTATAATCGAAAGATATCTAAATTATATTATATTTATCAAAATGGGGATAAAACAGGTTCGCTTTCTTTTTAAACACAGGATTGTTAAAAAATTTAATACATTTTATACAATAAAGAATATTGATTTTTATCAAAATTTCAATTTAAGTTATCATATGGATACATTTCAGAGTTTAAAAACAATTTAATTTTTTTTTAAATTACAATGTTTGAAATAAGAATTGTTTTTAATAAAATAATTTTTAAGATCTGTCTGAAAAGCAAAAACGGAAGGTTTTTAGAGCCGTTTCACAACTTAAAATCTTTGTTCTAATTCTTTACCACAATATAGTTTTCAATTACAATGTGGATAAGTAACAAAAAAATTATTTCAATCATTTTCAGTAAATTTATTGGTTGGTAATATATTTAGTTTTAGATTAATTAACCAAACCATGTTTTGTAAATAGTGTAAAAAATAAATTTTTATTTCTTTATTTCATAAAAGGGGTTTTTAATAAAATGTATGTTAAAAATCAGCATAATTAAACAATGATTTAGTTTGTAACAATGAATAAAACCCTAAAATACAACACTGCAAAACTTATATCTAGGAATGTATAGACGTGAAATGACTGGAATAATTTAGCTAATTGTAAGTTCGAAAATCTGAAATAATTTATGATGATGTTGAACGAAATATCAGCCAAAAGGCGTAAACATCAAGCAAAATAGCTGCTCTAAAACTACAAATAAATGCCAAAGAGGACAAGCAAAATTCGTATGTATGTCCTAATTAATACGGAATATTGGAGACGTGAGAAAAATATCAGAAAAAAATCAGTTTTTTGTTAATTTTAATATTAACGTTAAAATTAGGTTTTTTGTTTAATACAATTGGAACATATGCCTTCATAACGGTTTTTATTGTATTATTTATGGTTTTTGTTTATTTTTATTGTTATTTTTCCTCTAAATTTGTCACGTGATTGCTCCACTTATTCTATTCACTACGAATGCATTAATTACTACGTTCAAAACTATAAGAATTGATATCTAACAACTATTAATAATCAACTTGAGAATAAAAAAAATACTTTTCTTTGTACTGCTGTGAAATGATCTTCATTGATTCTTACTACTAAAAATTATAGTTCTTCACAATTTAATCAATTAGTTACTGTAGTCTAAATCAAAGATCTCTCTATGTACCTATCTACGTGTTTAGCTCTTTGGGGGAAGGGTCAATAGCCCAGTTACCGGCGAAAGCCGGCGATGTCTAAAAAGTGTGTTGCACCACTTGCTTCGCTAATGCTGCAAACTTCACACTCTTCAGAAATCGCCGCCTTTCGCCACTCGATATTTAATGTACCATTGATGTATTTTTTTTAAGTTGGCACCTAACTACATATTTTTTTTTTAAATTTTGTGACAGTTGTATGTTTTATAGACATTGGGCAATTTTGTTTCTAAAAAAAACTGGTAACTGAGCTATTATATTTTGTAGGTAATATTTTTAGGCACCTGTCACCATCCATAGAACCTTCACCATCGCTTGACGCTGAAGATCCCTGTTTAGCCAATCTAACGTCACCTGGCAGGACCTCTTCGGATCGGTGTACGGTAAACGAGGTTTTCCCGCGCTTCCCAAACCCCATCCGCCTTTTTCTGCCTATTTTTTACATTTGTTTTAAATATAAATTAACTTATAATAAGAAAGGATTTGTGGATACAAGGATAGAGCATTAACACGCTTTTGATCAACTTTTTACCAAACATCAATTCTATTCTAAACGTTTATCTATCACACTGGGGAACAGTTTTGTGCATATTAGATTCGATTTATACGAGGGTTTGTCAAAATATAGGAAATTTTTCAAGAGCTACAAAATATGCTGGAAATATTTTCATTCATAATTTTTGTAATAATCATTTGTTAGATATTTTTTGTACAGATATAATCGACAAAATTTAATGTTCTGTTGGATTTTTTTGACAACTTATAATTTATAATTTATATAAAATACCAGTCATGTCAAATTTACCAAAAAATTGCTTTAAATATTTTGCACCTATTTTATGTTCCCCAGTGTTATCCAAGAGACTGCACATTTAAAAGATTAATAGAAATCTACTATTCAGTCCTCAATGGTTAAATATTTCGACGTTTACAAATATCCATAAGATTATTTGCTGAAAATTAATCGATTCTACAAAAGAGAGACAAATACTTTATGCATTTAAGTACACATTTTTTCTTCATAAAATATAAAATTTCTCAAAGTAATATTTTGGTATGTTTTGTTAATGTATTTTTCCTTACCTGTTGCTGATAACTGACTGGTCGAGCTGCTCTTTTTACTCAACCCCACAAACTGGGCTTGTCGATCCCTATCACGTTCCCTATGACTTTCCCTCCTCATGTTTTCCTTTTGAGGTACCTCCAAACCATGCAGCTGGCCTACGGCTGTGTCACTAAGGCTTCCATCTAAAAATAACATCGACCCTGTACACTCTTCTTTAACATTTTTTAATTAACTTAATGAGGCAAAACAGGGTTTTCTTTTTACCCGTTTTTTCTTCGGTTGGGGCCTCAGCATTGCTTAGACTTCTAGTGAACTGCCCCCTCTTTACGCTGCCCTCCCTGTGATTATAGTGATGGTGATGATGATTGTGATGATGGTCCAAAGGTTCGATGATCTCGTGGTCTCTGTCTCGCACGTTTCGACTATTGCCAGCTCCTCTGTGTCCAGTATACATATACCTACGACACAATTAGTCAGTAATCAGTCAATGTCAGACTCCAAAGGATTAAAAAGTTTTTTTTGCGTACCTATCGCTACTACTTCCGTACTCGGTGCTGATGGCCCTCGTGCCTCTTGGTCGTTCGCTCTGCGTCGAAAAAGCACTACTGGTCACCGATGCTACCGATTCCATGTCACTGTCGAAGTCTACGAGGCCCAAAGGGTCTCTGTCTCTGTCAGGAGACATTGGCCTAAAAAATAATAGTTATTAGTAGGTATCTAGGAGCCATCTCACGTACTATCCTCCACATCAAAAAGTCACACTTTGACATTTGAATTAGGAATGCAGTCAAATAATTGAGGTTATGAATCTGTCAGTTTAACGCCAATTTCGTATTATTTTTTGAACTTAATACAATAGGTATAGGTATTCTTTGTACTTTTACTTTTATCAACGTATGTACAAAAATTGATTAATTTGTATGCCGCTGGTTAAATATTTTTTTCTTTAATTTTTCAGTAATTTTTACATAAAAAAGTACCTTTAATACAAATCTTATTGTAAAAAATAATGCAATCGTCATTTTTTTTAATGGTAATGTACTAAATACATTAATAATTAAAAAAATTATAAAGAGAAATATTTTCACTACACAATAAAAAATAATGAGTAATGTCAAACAATACATTACTCATTAAAAAATAAAAAATGAGTAATGAGAGACCGTACATTACACATTCAAAAAATGTGTAACGAAAGACATTACCCATTATATCAGTGAAAATGAGATGAAATGGATGATGGGGTGATTTTTTATAAGGGGCATTTTACACCAAGTCTGGCAGTTTGAAAAATGTTGATTTTCGATATTTTACCCCATTAAAAATCCCTTTCTGGTAAAGTTTGATATTTTTTTGATTACTAGTTAAAAAGATGTCAAATCATCAAAACAATCGCGTTTTTGCTGCTAATTTCTTTAATATGTGTCCGAATTGAAAAACTTCTACCCACTCAAGAAATTTTAAGCCGGAGTTGATGGTTGGATTATGATAATTAGGTGAGAAGGCGACCTAAACTCAAAAAAGTATTGCATCCGCGTTGGTATAAACAAATAATTAATTTTGAATGTCTGTTACTGGTAAAAAACCAATTCAAAACAAAAATTGAAAAAAGTCATTTTTCATTAAAAATAAAAAAAATGAGTATTCTTTTTACATTAATTTTTTTTAATGTGTATTGAAATCTTAATGCATTTAAAAAATAAGAGTGCCTATTTCGCAAGATATTTAAATTAGAAATGCGTCTGAATTGTTTAAATATAGCTATTTACATACCATTGGAGTAAAATAGTGCTTTTCCTCCCGCGAATAATTTGATGCCCGACGCAAAGCAAAGGTCATTAAATATTCAAGGGAAGAAACGCATTTTCCTCCTGAGGTATGTATATAGTTTTTTCCATTACCTTTTAACGGTTTTAAGACATTTTAAGCGTTCCGGTTCCTTTTACTAACCCGGTATGGGGCTATAAAATTATGACAAAATATTAAGTAGGTGTTGCGTCGCCGACGTTATGTTGACAACGCTTTGTTGCTATGGTATTTTTGGTAATACAAACTTAACAGTTTTTATAAGCTGTCAGAATGTTTATCAAAAATTTGAAATTCTTCCTACGTTTTGAAAATGAGTTCTAGCAAAGAAGACCTGCCGCAAGATCTTGCTAAAGAGACAAGAATAGTTGCAATTAATTTCCTTCCTTAAAAATCGAAAGAGCGATATGAAAATGAATATAGTTTGTTAAAAGAATGGTTGGACAAGCGCGGAGTAAATCTTTTTCCTACTAAATCAAATAGGGCTACACAAGGTACAAAAACTCTTGCTAAGGTAAAATTGTTAAAAAAAAAGAGGGAGGAAAGTTGTTTTCCTCCCGGGGAGGAAAATAGGCATTTTCCACAAGGTAGTGGAAAAAAAATATTTTATAATTACTTTACCTTCTGTTGTTGTGCCTGGTATGATTGGCAAGATCCCCGTCGCTAAGGCCGCCGTAGCGTCGTTCCCACGTGGACCCTGTGGATCGGTAGGTCTGAACGTTTCGCATCCGGTGATGCCGGTGGTGATTGGAACCGTCCAGGTCCTGGGCTACGCGCTCCTGAAGTGCGCGCGCCAAGGCATTCGGTACTTGCGGTAGCTGGCGTTTTTTAGGAGAGCCTGAAAAAATTAATGGCTGAATGGGGAAATTCCCTGGCAGTATACGTGGAAATGGGACAATACCATGGCCCCCAAGATCCCCAGAATTTACCCCGTTTATAGAACTTAAAGATAAAAATGAAGAATTAACTAATGTCCACTTGCACTGTAAGTTTAACAGTGGTTTTATTTTTAACATAGGTTTATTTTTCACAACTGGCTTGCACCGTAAATTAATCCTTGTTTAAATACATCTAAACAACTGTTTAAATAAACCCCCAATTTCAGTGGTTTAAATTACTTTGATCCACCGTTAACGATTTATAACCTCAAAAGTACTAGTCATTGGTATTCAAGATCTTTTTTTTTCCAAAGACATTATTTATTGACTTCTTTAGCAAATCCAATAACTATAATTATAGGTATAGAGGTCAGCAACTCTATAATGAGTCACTAATAAGAACCACAAATATAATAGAAAGAGCATTTGGAATTTGGAAAAGAAGGTTTCCAGTGTTGGCATATGGCTTAAGATTAAAACAAGATACAGTTTTGTCTATTATTCCAGCTGTAGCTGTACTACATAATATTGCTAGAGACATGAATAAACCAGAGCCGCCATTGCCTGATGATATTAATGCCATGAACTGGAGTACCCTGTTGTTACTCATCCACAAAATCGCATTATGTTTCAAAATCAATTAATACAAGATTATTTTTGATGTTTTATTTAATTCATACTTATTTCAAATTAAAATAAAATAACTACTACTTGTTTATTATTATAATATATTAAGTTTTTCTTTTTCTTCTAAAATTTTTAAATCCGAAAGATTCATTTCTTTTTGATCCTTTTTATTGTTTATTTCATGCTCTAATTGTTTTAGCCCTATCTGTCTCTTGGTTTTCAATGATACCCTTGTATCCACATAATTAATTAAATTATTTTTTTCATTTTCTGAATAAATTGAGGAGCGCCCCCTTTTTTTCAGGATCTGTATCCATATTATTCTCTCTTACTATCAACTGAATAAGTCGTACATGAAATAGAATCGAACCAAAGATTATAAAGAATCGAACTCTTAACGTCAAAATATATTTGCGTCACAAATAAGTGTGAAGTTAGTTATTAAAACCAATCTTTTCCATTTTTTAGTCAAATTTCCTAGATCACTATTTAAATTTTAAACTATAGTAAATAAATCACGGTGCAAGATTTTGGACACTAATCTCCTGTTCCTGTTGTTATTTATCCTCAAGATCGCATTATGTTTCAAAATCAATTAATACAAGATTATTTTGCGAATTTATAAAATTTAATGTGAATAATATTTTTGATGTTTTATTTAATTTATACTTATAAGTAAATAAATTTAAAATTAAAATAAAATAAATAGTCACTACTTGTTTATTATTATAATATATTAAGTTTTTCTTTTTCTTCTAAAATTTTTAAATCTGAAAGATTCATTTCTTTTTCATCCTTTTTATTGTTTATTTCATGCTCTAATTGTTTTAGCCCTATCTTGGTTTTCAATGATACCCTTGTTACAAGGGCCTTGTATCCACATGATTAATTAAATTATTTTTTTCATTTTCTGAAAAATTTGAGGAGCGCCCCCTTTTTTTCAGGATCTGTATCCATATTATTCTCTCTTACCATCAACTGAATAGGTCGTACATGAAATAGAATCGAACCACAGATGATAAAGAATCGAACCACAGATTATAAAGAATCGAACGTCAAAATATATTTGCGTCACAAATAAGTGTGAAGTTAGTTATTAGCACCAATCTTTTCCATTTTTTAGTCAAATTTCCTAGATCACTAGATTATAGTAAAAAAATCACGGTGCAAGATTTTGGACACTAATATCCTGTAACCTTTTAACTTGTCAGTTTATTTAACTGATGAGTTAGAGAAAACGGTGCAAGTGGCCATAAAACGTGTAACAACTCGGCTAAATTGAAATACACCTTTCGATATTTTAATCGACCTATTTTAAATCAAGATCATGTTTACTATAACTCAAAACTTTTTAAGGATGGCTGGATACTAATGTTTAATTACCTGTTGGTGTGGCGGTGGCCGATCTGGACTGGAACCTGGACATGTTGTACGTTGTCGGCGGATAATCTGTGAGCCGTACGTCGGGCGGAGAAAGCGAACGATGATCCGTAGCCGATCGTCGCGGCGACTTGGATCTCGACCGTGACATGTGAACGCTAGGCGAATCGCATGGCGCAGCCGAATGTGATCTTTGACCTGCCATGTTACTCTGAAAATACAAAGGAAAAACGTGCTGGTTAAGTTTGTATGTTATGAATCTATTCATTAAAAAATAGTAACAGCAAAAATAATTATTTGTAACCTAAAAATAATTTTTAAACAAAAGTAAGTCATTTCTAATGCCTTTGTAGTTATATAATAATATTCGGGACGATGCCGGGAAACTAAGTGCTTTGTAGAAAACTTAATTAAAAACTAATTTGCTGTCATTTGTAGGTGGGGAAATCAAAGTGGTTAATAAAGTTTTACAGAAACCTATATCGATAATATTATTTAATTATCAAGGCTTCATAGACGCTAATTAGATAGATCTAAACGTAGTAGAATTTTTTGATTGGTCCAAAAGGATTTATACAGACTAGCAGGTAAAAACTTCACCTGGTTGGTCTAAGCCTAGGAGGGTTAATTACACCAAAATCGATTTTTCTCTTTTTACGGGTGACATTTTTTCTTAAAAATGCGTTAACTTGGCCAAACATGTTTCGATCGTTGTACTGTCTAAAAATGAATTAGTCAAAAACTACTAATTTAATAGTCATTGTGGCTGCTTCTTCACTTGTACCATGGTTAACCATGGAATACCATGATATCCCAAAATTTAACAGCCAATTGCTCTGCAAAAATGTCGTCAAAAGTTAAAAAAGTATAACAATTTTTGAGATATAGTCAATTTTCCATTTAATAGGGAATGTACTATATCTCAAAAATTGCTCAACTTTCATAATTTTTGACGGTATTTTCGGATTCAGGGGACAATTTAACATAAGAATTGGTTGTTAAATTTTGGGATACCATGGTATTCCATGGTTAACCATGGTACAAGTGAAAAAGCAGCCTCTAATAACTATTAGATTAGTCATTTCTGACTAATTAATTTTTAGAGAGTAGGTAAATGTTAACTACATTTTTTTAAATTTAAGGCAAAAAAATGAGGTCAAAATTTTGACATTGACACATTTTTTTTTACTTCATATTTTTTTCGTTTAAAGTTGATAATAAACAACTTTCACCAATAGACCGAGTTGGCAAAATACATCATTTCGGAAATGCCATTTTCTAGTAAATTCGTGGTCCATTGCAAAAATTTGATTTTTTATCTAGGGTCATGAAACTTAATTTGGAACTTTTTGACATATTTAACATATTTTTATATTTATATTTTTGTTACTTCTGGTTTATCTGGAAATGGTCTTAACTTTTTATTTTTAAATGAAACACGCTATGTATTTTTACATAATATTTATTTATAATTTTATAATATTATTATTATTTTATAATATTATTTCGATTCAAAATAAAATTCTGAATAAGAGTTTGAAAGCGATATTATTATAAAATGTATGGTATCAAATTTAAAAAAAGTGGATTTCTTTTATGACCAACGAACCATCCTCTTTAATTAAAAAAAACAGTTTTGGCATAAAGTATGGTTTTTTAATTTTTGAAAGGTCCTAAAAACCAGCATTGCAAAAAAGTATAAAATTGTATTTTTTTCACACTAGAAAAGTCAATTCAAGACACTAAAAAATTATTTGACCTGTCAAAAATTTACAAAAGACATATGTAGGTATTCAGAATTTTATTTTAAATCGAAATATATAATAATGCATAGGGTGTTTCAATAAAAAATAAAAAGACCGGTGAAACCCGAAGTGATAAAAATATGTTAAATATGTATGTCAAAAAGTTCTAAATTACACTTGATGAACCACGAATTTTGGCCCCCATTTTTTTTTTCTTTTTTAGAAACGATTTAAAAAAATAAGTGAATTTACTAAATTTTTTATATTTTTTTATATGTAGTAAACATTCACCTACAATTAAAAAAATAATTTTTAGAATTATATTTAAATAAAAAAAATTTTAGGAATCTAAAAATAAATTTAACGAATTTTTAAAGGCAAACAAGGAGGGGGAGAATGGAATAATAAAAAAAATAAACAAAACTTACCATAAAGAATTTAAAAAACATTGTTTAAAAAACTTAAAAAAAGAAATCAATAAAAACAAACAAACCGATAAAATAAACCTCAAATGACAGCAGCAACGCTGTGCCCTTTTCAACCTTTTCCTTGCCGTGTACACCGCATTAATTAGGTGTTTGATAAATCAGGTCACCACTGACTAAAACTGTGACACACACACACACACACAAATTTATTAGGAGATGATATAAAGCGAACTTATTGATTTTGTTTGTTTTAATAAGCTTTTATCAAGAGCGTGTTGTCGATGCTCTCTTCCTTTCCCCCAGCCTGCCTGATGGCCTGTTACGTTTTTACGTTACGTTGCATTTTTTGATTGCACTTGCCACACCAAAGCTCCGCTAATCTCTATTATATCTATATCTAAAAATATCGGCCTTTTTTAATGCAGGTGTATACATAATAAAACACGAATTCATGATTTAAGTGCATTTTAATCGAGTAGTTTGTTTTTTGTTGACGATTATTATCTAGTTTTTTTACTTAAGTATTTATTTAAGATTTTAACGAAATTTCTTTATTTTTTCTTAAAAATTAATCAATTTTGTTTTTATGAAAAAAATGTAAACTATAAAATATTTTTGTTTTCATCTAGATATCTCAAAAGTCAAATTATTATTAAACCCCGTATAGAAATAAAGCAAAATTTTCATCATGTCAGTTAAACCTAACCTAAAAAAGCTTAAAAATTGCCTCGCACACAATCTAGTGCCTTGGCTGGTATAGACCAGGCGGAGAAAGCATGGGTTTATATATACGAGTATAGTTTACTTACTCTTCGGTAGGCTGGATTGTAGACGATTTCCTGGTCCCTTCTGGATCTGCGATCGTTGTCTCTCGGGGGGCTGGTGGAGCTGCCCACGCTCGAAACGCTGGCACCATCCGCCCCCCTTCTCTCCCTGTTGCCGTCTATTTCGCACTCGGAAGGGGTATCGCTGTCAGAGAATCTCGATCCAGTACTAAAATTGAAATAAAATGTAAATATGGCATTGTTCATATATTGTGTGAGCAGGATTTAGTCCGTTTTGGGCCATATCATTTTTTTTTGTTTTTTTAGCATTTACATGGTGACCTAATATATAGACAACCTCCTAAATCCCTAAAAACAAAAAGGCAGACAATAAAATCATGATAATCCCGATTGTAATACTATACTATCTACTGCAACTAGTAAACAATAAAATCTGACATCTGTCAGTTGGTTAACCTCACTTTTTACCAATTTTAACCATTATTATAGTCGCCTTCTTCCAAATTAAAACCCGATTGGTTCAAATCACAGTGAATAATGGCCTGATGCCTGACAATGTAAATAATAAGTTTATTATTGCCGTTGATAGGCAAGGAATTTATAATGGTTCTAGAGTAGATAAAGGTATATAATAGGTAATATATATATACTTTCTAAAAATGAAATAGTCAAAATTCTACTATTTGAATTAGTACCAGCATTTTTTACTAATTAAATAGTCGTTTTCACTTTTAAATAGTTATTTTTTACTACGTAAATAGTTAAAGTTTGACTAATTTAAGATTAGTCACCACATTTGACTATTTCTAACAGTTAAAAGTAACTAATTTCTTTAATCGTTTACGGCCAACAACAAAGTATTATTTGAATTAAATGCATATACCTCTCCATGGTTAAATGACCCATAAAACAAATAAAGATGCAAAAAGTTTAGCTCAAAACAGTAACACAAATAATGACTTATAATTAGTTATTTTTGACTAATTCATTTTAAGAGAGTACCGTATATTTATTTAGGAGCTAGGGTCAATGTAAATTCATTCATAAATGAACCCTGATTTATCAATATAAAACCCAAATTTTTCGCATATGCAGCCAGTTTTTAGACTGCAAGAAATTTGGCGCCCAAACTCCAAGCCAAGATTTATTTACAATAAATTAATGAATTCCATTAAACAATTTATCCATATACCTATACATAAAGATATATAGTTTTTAATTCCCTTTTATGTAATATGATTGTTTTAGTGCCTGTAAATGTTTTTAACTTAAATTAAAATTGTTAAAACCAACTATAAAATAATAAGAGGAAAAACTAAGATATTTTAACGAAATTAAAAAAAACATATTTCAAGGATTTCAATGCCTTAAAACCAAAAAAAAAATGCGTGTGCTTAAATCAGTCTAAAACTTTTCTAAAATCAATTTGGTTATTATAGAATACACGTTTAAATAGTATACTATATAATATATAATAACAGATAATTGGGACAGTTCAATTTTTCGATTTAAAATCTGTTTTTCGACATACGTATCACTGTATGCCATCGCTCCATGGCTAGCACGCCTGGCCGTGGAAATACAAAACAATGTCTGAGTTTGATGAAAGTTACTCCTTTTAAAAATCGAACTGTAGCTTACAAAAGTTACGAAAGATCCCTACAGACATCCAAGAATTTAATAAATAAAATGCTGGAAACATTTAATAAAAAACATTATTTTAGGTATTGACGTGGAAGCGGTCAAAATTTTTGTTAAAATACCACTCACGGTGCTGTTCTAAGAGGTGATTTTTGGACTTTCTGTGAAACCTAATTTTTTTTTATATTCTTGTTAATTAGGTCATAACTAAAATTTTAAGAACAAAATAAAAAAAATTTGACGGTTAATTTTGTTTTAATTGGATGTTTATTAAAAATATGTATGCACACTTTCAATTCTCCAATTAAAACTTGCGATTTTATTTAAATATTATCATAACTTTTTAAATCAGATTAAAGATTAGTTAATTTCCTAAAAAAAGGTCTATACATTTTTTATATCTTTTACTGTTTTGTTGTAATACACGTTTAAAGTTTTAATTTAAGGTTAAATGTATAGTATACATTTATTAAACAATAATTCTAAGGGTGCCAAATTTTATTTAGGGCCGATTTATTCATTTTTGATTTATTTGACGAATAATTTCTTTGGATACTAGATATTGCCAAGACATGAAAGTTATCGGCCCGATAAACTTTAGTAAAGATGAATAAACCGGTCCTTAGTTAAATTTCTTCGTAACTTTTACTACAACTTTTACTACAATTTTTCATTTTTGTTTATAAAAAACACTTTAAAAAACTAAACAAAAATTATAGAATACGTATACTGAAAATGACAATTCAAACGTCAAATAAATTTTTAATAGATCTAAGTTTCATGGCAACCTTTAAGTATATATTAATTAAGGGAACATAAATGTATACGTCAAAGTTTATATTAAAAGTTTGAACGTTTATTGCAACAAAACAGTAAAATATATAAAAAAAAATGTAAAAACCTTTTTTTTTAGTTATGCAAATATTAAATATTTAAATTAAATCGCTAGTTTTAATTGGATAATTGAAAGAGTGCATAATATTTTTAATAAACAGCCAGTTAAAACAATTCAAACCGTCAAATTTTTTTATTTTGCTCTTAAAATTTTAGTTATGACCTAATTAACAAGAATATAAAAAAAAATTAGGTTTCACAAAAAGTCCAAAAATCACCTCTCAGAACAGCACCGTGCACTACTTCTACATATTATTTGTTACCTTGGTGGCGAGAGGTGTTCACTGGGCGTGAGGGCGACCTCTTCGTGCGGTCCCAGGGATCTCCAGGTGGGCTGTTCGTCGAGGGGCCACAACTCGACGATAGCCTCGCCGAGAAAGTCGTTGGCGCCGTATCGCACGTAGTCCCACACTGTGATTTCCAGCGCCCGCAGTCGCAGATCCGATCTTCGGAGTCCCGGATAAGCGAACGTCTGGTTCCACATAGGTTCAGTCGTTCCTAAGAGAAATATAAGGCCTATCGTAAGACATAAGTACATAGTAAAATAACATTCAAGCCCATGGGCACATAATTATTGATAAAATCATCTGAATATCTGCACAACTACGGAATTGTTTTAAGTATTATTTTTAGCAAGCGTTTTATCCAATTGATACACTCAGATATGGAATGATGTGTGTGTGTACTGGGACAGTGCCAAATGGATCGAGTGTGTCCTGGAAATGGACCAGTTTTTCAAATAATCTATATATGAGAGCATATCTTTGTTTATTTTTAAGTTGGTTAAACCATACTTAACCGCGATAAATTCAAAATTAATGACTGTAATCTCAATGCAATGGTTTAATAATTGGAAGATTATTGCGGAATAATGTGAAAATAAAGATAAGAATTTTCGTTCTACCAAATTATTAGATAATAAATAAAAAGTATTTTCTCTTTTAAAATGCACATTCCTAAATAATTACAGAAAAAAAAACAAAAAATTAAATTTAAGAGTAGAGAAAACCAAAATATCAAATCTTAATTAGTTATTATTGGGTCTTTTCATCTTAAATCGACCAGTCCCGAGTTGGCTAAATTCGTCGTTTCGTTAGAAATAACAAATTTTCATTTGATTTCATATTTCGTTTTTTATTTAATGTCAGAGATTTTCTACAATGGGGAGGTTAGATATAACTTTTTTATAATCGTTTCAAAATATTTGAATTATTTTATTTAGTAGTTTAAAAACCAAAAAATGTTGAGCAATTACTTACACCCCTTGGATTCTCACCACCTCAATTATTATTTTTATTTTATTTTATAAAAAGTTTTAGCTTATGTTTTTATAGCAAAATAAAATGTTAACTAACCAGCAAAATTATAATTTATTTACTTCTTTATACACGCACTCAGGGCCGGAGCAACCCATAGGCAAACTAGGCAAAAACCTAGGGCGGCAAAGACAGGGGGCGGAAAAATCAGAAAGCGGAAAAAATCATTTGGGTTAAAATATAAAAATAAATAAAAATTGGTTACGACCAAGCTACAAGTTCGAATTTAAGTTTTGAGAAACAATGTTAACACTTCTTATTGAATTTACACGGAGGTTGTGTACCTATAAAGATGTTTTATTAAAAAAATTTGCGATGAATTAAATATTCCAGCCTTATTTCCATTGTCGCAACCAATCCGTTTAAGAAAAAAGAAAACGCAATTTCCCTACGAGGCTGAGGATAAGCCTATACAAGACGCAAAACAACATTTTAAAATTATTTTTTATTGTGCAATTCTCGATACTGCTTGGTAACTGAAAGATTTTCATCAATTTTCAAGTTTTTATACAATATCCATGAAATATGACTACTAAGACTATTTTAAATCATTGTCTCAAACTAGAAGAAATCCTAAAATATAATAATTCCAAAGATATTAATGCTGCGAAACTCTCTGATGAGCTCCAAGTGATTGTATGAGCACAAACTTTAAGAGATAACAGGATTGCAAATTTTGTTGACGCTTTCTGTGTCGATAGCCAGTGGCGAACGTAGTTTTTCTAAATTAAAATTAATCCTATACCAGATCGACAACAAAACAGTATAATAGACTTGTAGTCCTTATCAATAAAGTAAGATATTGCTCAAACTAGTTTAACTGAACTTGTATCTGACTTTTCCAAGTTGAAAGCGAGAAAAAATTAAATGTAAATTTGTAATACAATAGGTAAATAATATAGTAATTCTTAAGTTTCACGCATTTTTATTTATTTATTAAGAACTGTTTTGTTGGCTATAAAAAGTTATGTAAAATATAAATAAATATAAAAAAATAAAAATAAAATTAACTAATATTTTCGAAATTAAAAAACTGTCATTATATTTTTCCATTACTAGCCCTAAAATATATTTTACTAAGATTATGCAGTTTATGTAAATTATAAAAAAAGTAAATATGGCACAGTTTTTTGGTCATAATAAACAAACCATAAGGGGGGCACACAGATTTTTGCCCAGGGCGGCAGGTTTGCTTGCGCCGGCCCGTGTGTGACACACTTTAAAACCCAATAAACATTCAAATTTAATTAAGAGTCACCTGAGTATTGGTTTGTGCTATCTCCATTTTTTAACATTTTGAGGTTTATGCATTTTCGGAAAGTTGAAGTTGGTTTGTTCCATCTCCATAATAGTATTTTGATATAATTGTGTCAGTTTTTAGTTTAGGTTAGTCTAAATCCGAGTTTAGTATAAAAGGTTTAAAATTGGTTTACTCTATCTCCAAAATTTCGCTTACAGGCTTTCTTTTGCTCTATGTGTTTGTAAAAATCAGAATACAATTAGTATTTGTTTGTGCTATATCCATATGGAAAAAATATTTTATAACTGTTTTGTGCTATCTGCAAGGAAAGCTTCCTTATAACTATAAAATTGTTTTGTTCTATATCCACTTTAGCTAGTACACGTTTTTTCACCTATTTACATGTATATGACATTGTATTTTGACAATAATTATAATTATTATTATTAAAGTAAATCATTATTAAATAAAGTGTTTTTTAATTTAGTTTTGTTTCATGTCCTAAAACTTTGTTATATGTCCAACATTTTGTTTCTAAAATCCAAAAATAGCACTTTTTGTTTTATCTCCAAAACGTTTTTTCCAATATTGAGGCATAAATCCAAATTTGAGATAAGAGTTGCTCAATAGAACTAATTAAAGGCTAAACAAGAATATTGTTATTAATGTTTAATTAAGTTTCATTAAAAAACAAATAAGATATTTAATGTAAAAGTTTCAAACCCGTTTATCTCGATTATAACATATTGGACATAGAACAAATCAATACTCAGGTGACGATTTGGTATCAAATTTAAATAAGGTGGATTTCTTTTATGACCAACGAACCACCTTCTGGTGTCATCGATTTCGGCAGAGAAATTGTAAAAAAATTTCGTCGATTTAAGATGAAAAGGCCCTATTGTAATTAAAATTGGTTTTTATATTCTTAACATTCCTTTACAAACTACGAGATTTAAATGATTAAAATGTTTTTGTAATAAGTTAATTTAAAAAAAATACATTGCATCAGATTATTTCAAACAAAATACATTTAAATCAATGTATACATTGATACAATGTATACATTATACATAACTACTTATTAATCGTAATACAAAATGAAAAGCCTAAAGCACTGAAAGCATCTTACCGGCCAGAGTTCTGGTACGCCGCTTGCTCTTCTCGGAGCGATCTGGCAGCAGGAACAGCTTGCAGTAGGGGTTGCGCGGCTGGTGAGGCGAGCGCGGCGACAGGCCGGCGGCGCACACCACCGTCACCAGCAGCTGCAGCGAGGACGGGTCGAAACCTAACCTCACTTGAACGCGCCCCCCCACGCTCGGTGCCAGCGACGGGGCGGACTCCTGGCGCTCGGGCGAGCCGGGGGAGGTGACGAGCACGTGCGGGCGCTCGTACGGCTCTTGGTCCTGGGGCTGCCACTGGCCGCCTCCCGGGTGACCTATCACAGGGGCTCGCTTAAGTTTTATCCATAGAAAGAGATATGTGTCATTTGGACGCTTTTTTATTCAGACAAGGGTGTAAGATTTAGGATTTCGGAATTATTTAGAAAATATAAAGTTATCATTTTAATGCAAGATCTGTTAAATTTTGAAATTTTCGTAAATTAAATAGAGAGTCAAAAATTTTAATAAAACAAAAATGTTGACTCTCAAATCGTAAACCTGAATACCAAATTGACTAAAATTGACAAAATAACATATACGATGTGGATAAAGAATGAAATTCTAAAAAGAACAGTCCCCTGGCGTTTTCGATCTGTCGAATCCTTAATAAGTAATTAACAAAACAAATATATACTTAATAACTAATTAAGGGACCGTCAGATCTAAAAATGCCAAAAACTTTTCGTCTTAGAAAACCACCCCTTTTCTGCAGGCCATGACTAAAAAATACAAATACAAACAACACAATCAATTCAAAAGGCGGTTATGACAAGGAAGTTTGTTTTTGTTTAATTGGGTATTTTTTTATTTATTATTTTTATAGTCATCCCTCGTATGTTATAAAAAAATCTGACTTTTATCAAAAAGTTCAAACATTACTTATTTCCATTTAAAACCCGATTGGTTTAAATCACAGTTAATATTAAAATCAGCCAATCCCTGATACCTAAAAACGTAAATAATGATTTCATTATTCCCGTTGTTAGGGAAGAAACGGTTATAATTGTTACCATTATACAGGGTATTATTTGTGGGGATGATAGTACACGCCAAAACAAGATTTTTTTTTACAAAACCAGGGAGCCACTGGATGTCACTGACCTATCCTATATATCATCATTGTTTTTACCTCTAAAAACAATGATATTATTCATACAAGCAAAAAAAAAAACAGGTATGCACCCAGTGTATTATATACCTAATATCAAGCAAACTTTTAAACTTATTCAAAATCGGTTAGTAGGTACTTTGTTATCATTGATTACTGACAGTTCGGTTGTTATTGTGGTTTCTCCGGGGCTACATGAACAGTTTAGTGTACCAGAGCGAACTTGACACATTAGATGAAATCCGCGAACTTGTCACTGCAGCGGCAGATGAAATCCGAAATCATCCGGATATGATAGCAAGATCGACACATCATAATTTTCTACGCCGCTGTCAATTTTGTGTGGAACAATTATCAACAAAGTAATCAATGATAACACAAATGTAAATTTTTAATGAATGTTGATAATTGCCCACTGTGCATTTTTCATAGGCCAGTAATAACCAGTGGCGGCCCAAAATTTCTACTTTACTTATAAAATTTTAATGATTTTTTTATTAAAAAAATGGCACTAATTTAAAAATAAAAGAGGAAAAACTTTCTTATTTCGGAGTGTACTATCATCCCCTTAAAAGATGACAACTTATTTGGTGACACCCTGTATATGAAAAAACCAAATAATCTCAATAATATTTAATTAATTAAAACAGAAACATTAATTACCCACTCATTAAATTTTTTGCGGGCATAATATTTCGAAAAATATTTTTTATGACACAATCTTACACCATTGCCTGAACTAAAATACGTAAATGGAGGTTATATTAAATTCTTTAAAATCTAAAATTTGTGTTTTACCCATTTTTAACTATTTTACTACCTATTTAACAATCTAGATTACCTACATAGATTATCTAGATAGATACCTAGTAAAATAACGCACAAGAATTTGTATAAAACTATTTTAAAAACGATACACTACAATTAACCGCAATTAACGTAACGTACGAGATCGAAACACACAGTTGTTGCTCCCAATATCATACAAGAACACTACACTAAACTAACTAAGAAAAGGTATAGAAAAAACAAACAATCAAAACATAGTGTGTATTTTGTATGAAAAGAATGTGCATAGAAAGTGTGTTTTGTGCTCGCAACAGTATTTAAGAAAAGAACCCAATAAAAGTGGGCGTTTGAAGAATAGATAAAAAAATATACCTCTTTGGGCTACTGATTGCCTCCAGTTCGCTTGGGCAGCTCGTCTACTTCCCATGCTCCTAGAAACTATGAGCTCCACATTTTGCTCTTGCTTACTTTCCGCTATTATATCAGAGACTTCCTGATAGGACTTCCCCTGCAGAGACCTACCATTCCATTCTATTACTTCATCGCCTGGAAACAGTCAAATATAATTCTGAAGAGATATGGTGTCCAGAGTTTCTGAACACCCTGTATATAATAAAGTGGGGTAAAGAAGTGTTTTATATTCGTATATTTATAATAAAATAAGCGTACCTAGGGTATGCGGTGTAAGTATATAGAAAATGAGAGTTCTGGATCATTAATACAGAACTCTCCTTTTATATCTACTTTCACAGGCTATATTCTACCTGGTCTTAATTGTCCCTCCACGTCAGCAATGCTGCCCTTCTTGACTTTCTCGATGAGGGCACCTTTGAAACCGTTGTCTAAAATTTTGCCCCCGATAACTTTGAGACCCAAAATGGCGGCGCTACTACCAGTCATTTCGCGACCTCTTCGTAAAATCATGTGCCCAATCATACGAGTGCCGTCCGCCGAAACTTGCCATGATAATGGGTGCTGTTTGAAAAGAGATTTTTTTGATTGTTTTGATGATTTTTTTTTGTTTAATTTTTTAAGAAGCTTAAAAAGTTTTACAAGATGATATATGAAAAAATAAAAGATCATTTACAGTAAAATTGGGTTTAATTCGGTTATCGAACAGCCCTGACTTGGCTCCTAGTAACTTTATTTATTCTAAATATGTCAGTACCATGAAAAGTCATTTTGGATATCTTATTTATCAATAAGAATAAAAGGTTTAAATTTTGACTGTTTATTTTATTGAATCTGTTATTAATTTTTTAATACTTTTATAAGGCTTAAATGTATTTGAGGACGCAGTTTAAACTTTTATCTTGTTATGTAAAATTTTTTCTTGTAAAACTTTTTAAGCAGTGCATAATTCAATCTCTAATCTGCAGCAATAAATCCGTATAATACAGGCATCAAAAATGAAAAACAATAAATAAAAAACTGTTAAGCAAAAACCACGTTGAACATACAAAGACTGTTCCCTCGAGCATAGTCTGCCAAAATGGTTTTTGGTTTTCACTGTTGGTCGATGGCCAAAATTTACAAGAGACGTTAAATGATAATGTATATGAGTCTCTGCCTTTAATGGCACGATGGGCCAAAATTAATTTTCGAAACACAGTTTTTATTGATAATTTGAAAAAGTAAAAAAAAGTTATTTCCAAAAACTTTTTTAAATCATTTTGTATCATTTTTTGTAGCGTATTTTTTATGTAAATATCTGACGCCTTTTTTAAGAGGAAGAAATATTTTGACACGGAGATAACCTTGTCTCTGAAGATTTCAGTCGCCCACTCACTACCTCTGGGTGGTAGTGGAACGTAATATGCATTTTTAAAACGCATCACGTTATTATCAAGTTAATTTACTTTTAAACATTTTTCAGATACTTTAAATTTAACCTAGCATTTAACTAAATTAGTGCCAAACCTAATAAAATAATTTCAAGAAAATTGTTTTTTTGTGTGAAAATACGCTCCATAATGTTAACAAAACAGACTTCGAAAATTCGTTGTTGTCCCATTGTATGGCAATTTAAAACATAAATAAAGGAATGTGTATCTGCCCCAATTTGTGAACTTTTTGTCTGACCTATGTTGTCTGCTTTTGAAAGATTAATGTTAATTTTTCGCCATTTAAATTGATGAAAATTGAAAAAAATCGCGACACAACTGGGGCAAACATTTGCATTTTTATTTTACTGATTTGACAAATATGGTCTCGGGAAAAGGCAGTTAACAGTATGCAAAAGCCGTTCATTGCAGTAGAAAACTTTTACACAACATTTATTAAAACGTGCCAAAGTTCTAAATAAAACATTCTATAGTTATACATATAGGTATCTATTTTTTATTGAAGAAATAAATTCAAAGTCCGTTTTTAGTTATTTAAAATGTAAAGTCACGCTATTGATATTTTTTAGCAACCTTTTTAAATTGGTTGATATGTAAAGATAATGTGTTTTTAATGTTTTGCCTGTTTCACTAATTTTAAAAATTTAAAAAATAATATGTCAGAAGCATATTTTAGTGTTTTGAATATTTTGAGTATTTTACTATGACAGACTTTCTCATAAAACCGAACTTTTTGTTTATTTTCCCAATTACATTTGATGAAGGCTCTTAAAGAAATATGATACACTTAAAAAAGTTGTTTAAAATAAGTCGTTATTTTTTAATTTGTGCAGACAAGTGCATCTAAATTGCATTTTAAACGAGAAAAGTCCGCGCTTAAAGTTTGTCAACAACTTAAGTTGGTATATCTGTTTCCGTAACGAGCGTTTTGCAAAAGTAAAATTGAATTTTTTGCTAATTGCTTTCAGCTAACTACTGCTAATTAGGGTGCTTGTTAATTAAACAAACGTTTCAAAAAAATACTGTAAACTCGGATTATTTTTTTGCATTGGCGAGTTGATTAATTAATTAGTTGAGATAAACGAGATGGCAGTTGATAAATAAATAAACTATGAGGATAAATTAATTTGTTATGATGGGTGGTTTAATTAACAAATCTTTTGTGTTTTGAAAAAAGTCAAAATTATTAGTTTTGTAATAAATATTCTATAAGATATTATAGAAGAAATATACTAAAACTTAAGATAATGAATATGTTATAAATACATAATTTAGTATATTTATTTATATTATTTATAAATTTAAATTAATAATTTAAACTTTTTACAGCAATTAAGAAAGAGCACTTAGTAAGGTGGTAGATACAACCCTAGTAGCAATGGAATGGGACAAGATTCTCCGGCAAGTATACTTGGAGAAGCACTTTATACACAATTTGACAATTCTTGATCAAGACACTTGACCAAGATTCTTTATCCAGACTGCCTCCAGACTTGGGCCAGTCTTTGACCAGAATTTGACCAGATTCTTGGCCCAGAGTCTTGAGATAGACTTACGCGAGAAAATGAAAAGACGATAAGCGCGCCTCCTATTTCCCTACTTTCACTTGAAAGTGAAAAGTATAGCATTGCAGTGGTTCTCAATTATAATGTAGTCAATAATTTTGAAAACGTCAGTTCTTTACAGTTTAGCGTTGAGTTTGAAATAATGCCTCCAAAAAATTGAATTTTTCGCGTAAAATTCTGAATCAAATGATATACACGACATTTGGTCGAATTTTTTTTTGCATAAAATTTTTCACCTGTGGGACTGAAGAAAAATTTTAGCTTCGGCAAACTTCAGTTCACCTTAGACAGAGAGAGTAAGGCGCACCTTATCCTTCTCTCGTACACACACTTCTCGACTAGAGTATTGTGAATTCTGACCACAGTCTGGCCCAAGTCTTGCCCAATGATCTTGATCAAGAATCTGGACCAATTCTTGTACAATTCTTGATCAACAATCTGTTCCATGCTGGCACAAGGCTTTTCCCAAATTGCTTCTAGGGAATATTAATTAATAAAAAAAATATTTTTTGGGTCGTCACAAGTGTTTTTTAAAATTAGGTTTAGGGATATACTGGTCAAACGTCATAAAATAAATATCTGTTTTTTTCTAATAACTTTTGAACCGCTCAACCGATTTTGTTCAAATTATATAAATAGGTCTCTATTAAAAAGTGATAACGCGATACAGGGGCGTAGATAAGGGGGTGCTTTCACTCTTCTCCCCCTATTTTTACTACATAATTATTGTTTAAAATTGCTTGGATTTTTGAATTATATATTCAATTTGGATGAAAACGAAGGTTAACCTGTATATCCCTAAATTTAATGACATTTATCGATGTATAATATTTTGCAAAATATATACATTGGGGTTTTTTTTGAATTATTATGCTTCCAGAAGCTTAGAGGCTTTCAAATTGATAAAAAATGAATATTTAATTAATTCTGCCACTAGTCTCGTTTGCAACAAGTTGTGTAGTGGGTGTCAATTTGACATTATGCCAGTTATATTTTCTTAACTAGCCAACTTGACAATACACTTCATCTTGCATCAAAGCGTTAAAACCACCTATACCAAGCACTCTTTGTCTAAAACCTAGACATGAACCAATGACTTGTGTCAACGTCATCGGTGGACATTAGGGTGTCTCTTATTTTAATTTTTTTTACGCATACCCTCTAATTATATTTATTACGTGTTTATATACTCCCAGTAAAAATTTCAGCTCATTCTATAAACAGGAACCCGTGCCGACTTGCATCTGAACCCTCCGTTAGCCAACGTTAGGCGCGCGGTATTTTGTAACACGGTTGGTCGCGAGGTCTTCGATCGTAAGTCATTTTGTTTGTTATTATGTGACCCTTATATTATAAATCATTGACAAATGTTAAATTATAGTTTTATTTATGTGTATAGGTACTTTGATAAAAATGTGTATTTTCACAGGGAGTGGCTAGTTACCCGGAAGGGTCTGGTGAATAGGCCGTAAACTCTGAAATTGATAAACTTAATGGGTTTTACTCTAAATAACTAAAAGAGTCTATTGTGAGAGATGACTACCGAAAACTTATTGGTCTGAAATATTTTTGGGAGCACATCAAGAAAAGAAATGCTTCTAAAAAGCTGAAATTTCATATAACAGTATATTTTAGCAATACTAATTAGTATATTAATATATTTAAGGGATAAAATCAACTAAATTAGTGAAACAAATGATAGAAACAAAAGCAATAATATTAATTAGTAATCATATTAAATAAAATCATTAGAAAAATACAGTCATGAAGTATATCTTCTTTTTAAAGTGTTTCGTGTTACAAAATACCGCGCGCGCCTAACGTTGGCTAACGGAGGGTTTAGATGCAAGTCGGCAAGGGTTCCCGTTAATTAGAGGGTATGCGTAAAAAAAAATAAAAATAAGGGACACCCTAGTGGACATGGGTGGTGCGACGATTGCGGGGTGCATCTATAGAGATATAAAGAGTGCACTATCATCGTTCGAATAGTGCACACCTTTGGCATGTCGCCTCGCGTCGAGTCCTCGCTCGACGTGAACGTCGACGAGGTGTCGATGCCGGAATCGCGGTGCGAGTCCTGCGACCCTTGCCTGCTGCCTGCGTCGTTGTGATCGAAGCGCACCGTCTTCTTCCTGCGCTCGGTGAAGCATCTGTTGTCGGCGGTGACGTCCTGCAGCGGGCGGTGCTGGGCGGGCGCCACGATGTAGTGGCTGAGAGGCGGCCAGTCGCCGTTGTTGCCTTTAAGAGAAATCCGCAAACGCGTGGGTGCATTTAGGCTGCTTTTGGCTGTACACTGTACAGTTGTATGACAATTTTACTTTTGAACCCTTTTGAAACCTTCTGCATACACAGGGTCACACGGCGTCACAGAGAGAATGACTTTGTGCTACGAGTAGAGATGTAAAAAAACGGTTTTTTTCAGATGTGAAAAAAATCATGAAAAAAACCTAGAAAAAAACGGGTTTTTTTTTCAAAAATATATTTTGAGTAAAATGTATATTAATACTAAAGTGAAATGTAGAATGAATATATTACATTTTTCATTATTGAAAATTTTGAACAAGACTAAAAAATCTGATTTCTTATTATTTGGTAGTTTCCACATTAGAAACCAATAGCAATGTAAAACTTCTACACTAATACAAGAAATTAAAGGATACAATTTTTTGCGATTTTTCGGATAGCTGTATCTTTTATTGTTTAAAATATCTGTGGTGTAAAGAGTAATCCTAAAATGGTGTCAAAATCCAACACCAAGTGGTGTTAATATAACACCATGAATTATGGTTGAAAATGAACACCAAAACGGTGTTTATCTAAAAATATTTGAGAAGTGCACCTACACAGAAAAAAAGGAATAGTTCATTTAACTATATTAATTTAGTTGACCCATAAGTATTTATTTTTTTGTGGATCAAGTGATGTTCTTAAATCTCGCCTCTGTTGACTTACATGAAGAATATATAAGCTCAAGCTTTGGTGTGGCACTACAAGTTGTTCGATACTAGACCTTAAATAGGTGGAAACAGCTGTCAATACTTTAAGTATTTTAAGTTAGTGGAACGAACTAAAAACATTATCTCTAGCGAGTTGAAGGTTCCATTTTCTGGAATAATACCACTGGTAATATACTAGTAATGCGTCAAGGAACTTCCTGTTTCCTTTTTTTTCCTTTTTTCTGTGTAGTATGATTTAATTTGACCACAAACACATAATATTTAACACTGAAAAGGAGTTCAATTTACACCAGCTAAAATTTATTTTAATACTGTGTGAAAGTTAAATTAACACCATTTTAGTATTTGAATTTACACCGGACCAACGAACCATATTTAACACCATTTTGGTTTGTATCGATATAGACCAAATATGGTGTTAATTTGGTGTTAAAATGGTCATGAAATTTTGAACAGTATATTGGAGCCCTAAAAAAAGCAATTTGAAACTTCTAGTTTTGAGATTTTTAGATGAAAAACGTGCAACGCTCGATCCTAACAAATACCGTAATAAATGATGTTTTTGCTTTCTTTTTTGGTCCACGGAATGTTCTGACTTAACCACCAATGAATAAATGTTCTACAAAATTTGCTATTGTTTTTTGAAAAAAAAATCCATACTCTAAATGAATTTGAAAAATCATGTAAAAAATGCTTTTGGTAGCTTTTTGAAAAATCAAGCGCTGAATCAAAAATATTATATGTAGTTACTTTTTTTAGGACCAAATCAAAACAAGCGCGGCCCTTATTGGTGGTGGTGGCACGTGTATAGCGCGAGACTGTATTTACATTTACTAAATGTCATTTAGTGGCTAATTTTAGTCCATGGAAATATAAAAAATTAGGCAAATGGGACTAATCTTGAAAAAACCTAAAATGTGAAAAAAACCATTTGAAAAAAAAACAATGAAAAAAACCTGAAAAAAAAACAAAAAAAAACGGACCGTTTTTTTTCAAGTCGCATCTCTAGGTACGAGTATAAAGTTGAACCGCAAAATCCTTTTTAGAATAAGGAATTCCTTATATGGATTTGTTCTCCTTTTTCAAGTAATTGGACCTTTTAAGTTTTTTGAAAACCTTGTGAGGTTGTGGAAAATTGTCCAATATTTTTGCCCATACCCATAAAAATTGAAGTTGTGCAAACTTTTGAATTTAATTTTATAAGATTTGATATTCCTTTATAAGGTGGCCTTATAAGAATCCCTATTTTTAAGTCTCCTTGTATATTATACTATAATAAAGTAAAATTGTCACACCCAACCAATATTCAATCAATTTTTTCTTACCATTTAATTACCTATACCTTTTTATAAAAATACTTAAAGAAAAACATAAAATCAATATTTAAATATAAAGTAGATGAGTAAGTATAAAAAACATTACAAGGGTTATAATAAATTTCACAAAACCATTAAAATCGAGACAAAATTCTATTATGCAAGAAATATGAAGAGTGCTTAAGCAGCGTGTAGACACCCATCGACATGCACAAAGAAAACATCGAATTTTTTTAATAAATTTTGCGTTTTTTTAATTTCACACACTTATTTTTTAATTGGTATAAAAATTAATTTAGGTACATTTTATTTAACAGCCAGTTAAGAATCATTTTAATAAATATTTTCAATTTTTAGTAAAAATTTAAAAAGTAAGTGCGTGTTTTATTTTGAACGTTAGTTTTTTAATTCAATCCTCACCGCCAAAAACTTTTTGATTTTTTCGTCTAAAATCGCTTGTCGGCTCAATCTATCCGATATTTTATTCCGCTCATCTATGCCTGTAAACGCAAAAACTATATGTATAAAAGCACTGGCTTGAACACAATTTGAAACAAAATGTCAAAAATTATTTTTAAGTGTAGCTAAACAGTCGGTTAACTAAGCAAATTGGAGGATTGTTTTCTTTTGAATCAAATGGCGAAAACAGAAAATCAATTGAACGTCATGTTTAAACATTAACCTTGTATATTTTTGCGTTATTTTTGTGAATATTTTGAAAACCCGACGTTCAATTGTTTTTCTGTTTTCATCATTTTAATCAGAAGAAAAAATGCTTTCAATTTGCTTACTTAACCGACTTTATAGCCCCAATAATAACGGAGTTAGCCAAAGTGGTCACAGGGTGAAACCACCCTGGATGAGCAGATAAAACTCGTGATCGAAAACAACAATTTTTTTTAGTGACAGTTATTTTAGATAGGGTTATAATATTCCTTTGGTTAGAAAAATACCAAGTTTTTGCAATGAAACCTGAAAATAACTCTTGATCCTTTTTGCACCAATGTTTGTGTTTCTCAGTGTATAATTCCTGGTTTTGTGTATTTCCAAAAAATAATTTGAACTTTACAGTATTTACTTACGCCCTCCTATTTTATATTAAAAAACACTCAAGTAAACTCTAAAATAAACGGATAAAATCATTGTACTCTACATTATGGGAGCAACAACCTGTCGGAGAATTTAACTACCTCCTAACATACTTTTAATATTACTTTATATATTTATTAACTCCAGTAAATCATGCATGTTTTTCTTATCTTTTTCTCTAGTTCTATTTTTAATTTAGTTATACTCACAATATTGTATGTAATCTGTTTTAAACAAACATAATTTACTTCTACGGGATATTCTTGGGGGCATTTTTAGGGTTTTGAATTTTTCTTGCGTTTAAACTTTAATGATTTATGAAATAATAAAAATTAAGCGTAAATACTTTGTAAAAATGAATTACCATTATAACCTTTTTTTATATTCAGTAGAAATATAAATGGTCACCAAATAAGTTGTCATCCTTTATCATTTTTGCATCAGTGCCATTTTTTGTAATAAAAAAATCATTAAAATTTTTACAAGTAAAGTAAAAATTTCGGGCCGCTACTGGTTGTTCCTTACCTATGACAACTGACGCAAAATATGCTTGCACAGTGGGAAATAATCTACATTCATTAAAAATTTACTTTGTTGATAGTTGTTGTTTTGCATACTCAGCTATTTTTGGGTACTTTAAATAAAATAATGCTTACTTTTTATTGTTAGGTATCTCGAGGTTCCCGTGGTTTTCCCGTCGATTTTAAATTTCACCTTTTACTTTTTACGTCGATTGATGCTCATGTAGCTATTTTTTTAAGTGTTCCACAAAATCATAATGAATGTTCAACTATTCACACAAAGTTGACAGCGGCGTAGAAAATTACGATGCGTCGCTCTTGCTATCATATCCGGATGATTTCGGATTTCATCTGCCGCTGCAGTGACAAGTTCTCGGAGTTGTTCCAATGTGTCAACTTTGCTCTGGTACACTAAACTGTTCATTTAGCGCCAGAGAAACCACAATAACAACCGAACTATCAGTAATCAATGATAACAAAGTACCTAAAGTTTAAAAGTTTGCTTTATATTACATAATACACTGTACGCATACCTGTATATTTTTTGCTTGGATGAAAAATATCATATATCATCATCATCATCATCATATACATATATAATATCATCATCTAATGCAAAAATGATAGAGGATAAAGGATGGCAATTTATTAGGTGTGTCTTAAAGGACCTGAAACCTTTAAGTGTCAAAACATTAATACTTTTTTAAATCCAGGCTTTTAATAATAAATAATAAAACTGTACTTTTAAAAACTAATGATAATTTCCATAAACTTTCACCAACTAAATTTAAAAAATCCGAATCCCCAAAAACGCCCACCAGAATCTCCCAGACTATCTTTATTATCGTTAAGGCTAATTTACATCGATTTCTAGACCACCTACCTTTCTCACTGTCGCGCTCGTCGCTCCCATACTCGGGCGTCGACTTCAAATCCTCCTCTGAACTGCTGAACGACCGTTGTATTTGCACTTGTGGTGCGTGTTGCCTGTTTTTGGTCGAGCCGCTTCGCTTGTGTTTCTTGTTGGCACTGGAAGAGGGCACTCTTTGCTGCGAATGGTCCATCACCGACGGATCTGGCTCCAGATCCGGATATCTGTGAAAAGATAGATAGATTTTTTGCAATTTACAAGTTTTACGTTCTAGTTGAAGAGGTTACAAAACAAGTAGAAATTTAAATGGGGAATCAGTAGGGCGCTAGCTAGTTTTCCCCAAATGAAACGAGGGCCTCGCTAGGAATCCCTACTAGTTTCCGACTAGTCATGTAATGCTTTTCCTGGTGGGGAACTACTGGGAAAAATCTGGTAGGGAAAACTAGCTTAAAACTGGTTGGGAATATTTGTGAATTTTTTAACCAATAATAAAAGCCAGTAGCTAAAATTCTTTTATTAGATTTATATATTTACATAGTTCGATCACTTTTGGAATTATTATTGTCGGTTGTAATTTGGTTTGGTATAACCTCTTGTGACAAGCTAATATTGTTTGCTGCACCATGACTTGACGTTGAATCACTATCAATTTTTCTGCACCATTGGAAGAATCTAACAAGTAAATGGATAATTTAATACAACGGGTGAGTTTTAAGTAGAGATGTTACTTTTAACAGCGTGTAGAAATCAAGTAGACAAAAGAATACTTCAAGTATCTCAAAAATAAGAGAGAAACAGTAAGTAAAACTTTTCACGCCGAAAATGTCGCGCATTTGATCCATAAAGTGCACGTCACTACTGCAAATAGATGCAACCATCTGAAAAATATTGCGCATAGGTACAGTCATCTGGTAACTACTGCGCATAGTTTCAACCATCTGGTACCTACTGCGCCAGTTCAAATTCTTAATTTTGTTTTTTAAAAAATAAAGTTATTTGAAATTTCAACAAATTATGTTTGACCATTGATTTCTAGACGCCTGTTAATAAATAAACTCCCTTAAGTTGAAGGTAACCTGTATCTTCAAAGCCTTGTAAATTAAATTTACATAAATAGTAAAATTAAAAAAAAAACTAAGGTTAGGTTTAAACTTTAAAATATCTTTACACGTAAAGCAATAACTTACCGTACCGTATTTATTTAAACTTGCCTTAATTTCACCAACCCATCGATCTTTTAGAGTTTATAATTCATTATTTTAATCATATAACAAACACAGGAATTAAATGTCAACAAATGTAAAATCAAGAAAAACGTCAAAATGCTTAGTAACCTGTAAACAAGGGGATTTTCCCTACATTTCCTTACAAGTTTATGGTGAGGAAAACTTGAGTCAGTCTAGACTGGAATTTAATGAGGAAAACTAGATGTGAACTAGTCAGTCAGAGTCGAGTCACAACTAGGCAAGTTTTATTGGTTAGTTCCTAGTCGGGGCCTATCTAGTATTTCCTTTTCTAGTTTTTCCCTATCTAAACCCAGCCAGCGCCCTACCAATATTGAGGAAAACTGGACAAATTTCTACTAGGGACTTTGTTTAGTTCTTGTTTGTTGTATAGAGCAATCTTTGAAATTTGACAGGCAAACCCCCAATTGAAAGGTGTCTTACCTTCTGGGTACTAGATGGGGATGCGTCCTCATCAGCCCCTCCAGTTCCCCCTGGTAGTATCTCGGGTCCTCCTCGTTGTACTGCTGCTGGTAGCGTTCGCAGCTTGGCTGGCGGGTTTCCTGCTCGGAGTACTGCCTCCTTAGCACGCTGCTGGCTCGCTGCAACGGCTGGTTCTCTTTTTCGGCGGCAGAGTGAGCCCTTTCAAGTTTCGGTCGCTTGTCGGACGGCGCCTGCTGCATCATGGGCATGGGCAGATCGCTGTCCGGCGGCGCCAGCATCCATTGCCCAGTTTTGCTGAGGAGTTCTTGCTTTTTGCGGCACAAAATGCATACCCAAACCACCTGTAAGAAAAGAAAATAATTAAGATAATTTATCAAATTAAGTTGTATTTAATTGACAATATAATTCATTAATATTAGAACCAATAAAATGCCAGTATTCCATAGTGACGTATTTTATCACAGCGGCAATAATTTTTATCATCTTGTTTACACGTTACTATGAACTTTGACGTTTTTTTGATTTGACATTTGTTGTCATTTAAATTCTGTTTTTGATATATATCAATAAAATAATGAATTATAAACTCTAAAAGATCGATGGGTTGGTGTAAACGATAATGAAATTAAGGTTAGTTTGAATAAATAAGGTTTATTAAAGTCTTTTTATATTTTAAAGCACATTTTAATTTCAAATGTCAAACTAAAAATTCGTTAAATCCTAAAATTCATTATATTTTCTCACTAAATATAACTCGTGGTATGATTAATTATCGATGATATTTACTCATTAAAACCGAAGCAGCACATTTCACTCGTCCTGCGGACTCGTGAAATCTGCAGCTCGGTTTCAATTCGAAAATATCATCGATGATAATCATACCACTTGTTATATTATGGGTGACAATACAATTCATTATAATAAGAACCAATAAAATGCCAGTATTCCCTAGTTACGCATTTTATCACAGCGGCAATATTTTTTATCACCTTGTTTACACGTTGCTAAGGATTTTGACACTTTTCTTGATTTGACATTTGTTGACATTTAAATACTGTGTTTGTTAAATGATTAAAATAATGAATTATAAACTCTAAAAGATCGATGGGAGTGTAAACGATAATAAAATTAAGGTAAGTTTGAATAAATAAGGTTTAATAAAGTCTTTTATATTTTAAAGCACATTTTAATTTCAAATGCCAAACTAACAATTCGTTAAATCCTAAAATTCATTATATTTTCTCACTAAATATAACTCGTGGTATGATTAATTATCGATGATATTTACTCAATGAAACCGAAACAGCACTCGTCCTGCGGACTCGTGAAATCTGCAGCTCGGTTTCAATTCGAAAATATCATCGATGATAATCATACCACTTGTTATATTATTGGTGATAAAACAAGAGCCAGAACAAAAAACTAAAATCCCTATTTTTAATAATAATATTTTTATATTTAATTTTTTGTCATATGTATATGGTATATGCTAAATGGCATACGGTCATTACGAAATATTATTATTACAAATTATTACGAAATATTATTTTTTAACAAGTTTGTTAAGAGAGACAAAAAAAATACGTTTTATGTATTTTTGGCAACAAAAATATGCCTTGAAGATAAAATACAGGGTGTTATGTAATTAATGTTATATATTAAAATACTGAATACCTTTTGACATAAGGAATAAAGGAAAAATATTTTAAAAAGCATTTTTCCAAAGATAAAGAAAAAATATGCATTAGAAGTTTTTTATATTTTTTGTGATACGCCACTGGTTACACACTTGTTTATCTCTGCACATCTGTATTTTGTGAGTACATAGATACCAACCAACAAAGTAGCTATGCGTTGCCAGATGTAAAAAATTGTTACTAAAAATTTTTCTTGCAAAAAATAAATAAAAACTCAATAAATACAAAAGTTTTATGCCCTTAAAGCTCTAATACCCTTCTGTATTTATTTACTGATCCAGCTATTAGCTTAAGCAATGATTAGAAAATTTAGTACCTTTAAAATTTGAAATCCATAACCACAAAATTAATTTTTTCATCAGTTTTTTTTCTGTTTACTCAGATGAAATTGGGACCAGTTCACAGGTTAAACTTTAAACATTTAATTTGTGTAAATAAATCCAAAAGCACCCTTAGTTAAGATATTTACAATTTGAAAACATAACCTAAAATTTAAAAGAAATGCACTAGATTCTGTCATAAAAGTTGGCAGATTTTGTTTGAATGTACCTTCAGTACAAAAATGAAATAACCAACAATTAATAAAAACGCCAAATTGACAATTTGCATTGTTAATTTTGTCATTTTTGTAATTAAGCTAAATTTAAACAATGTTTGTCAACTTTTTTGAGAGATTTTGGAAAAACTCTTGTTCCCAACCATAACATAATAAATCCACCTAAAGTTCCTAGTCGATCAGTGGCGTACTTTTTGGTAGGATAAAGGTTATTATATTTAGACTTTGGAATTTAGAAAAAAAAAGTTTCAGGTGCTTCTTTATGGACCCTAAGGAACAACCCATTTTAATATATAACATTAATTACATAACACCCTGTATAGTATGCCATGCGGCTAAAAATTTTCATAAAAGGAAAAAAATAATATTTTAGTATCCGCATTCGCCCTTTTTTAACTAAATTAAATTAAACAAAAAAATGTAATATTTATTTTTAAACTAAAAAAATAATGAAAAATTGTCACTAGTAATACCACTAGAGGTCAAATTATTTCCGGAAATTTTTTCGAGCTCATGAATATTTTAATAGAGGATAATTTTCTAAAAATATTCATGGGCGAGAAAAAATTTCCGGATTTAATTTGACCTCGTGTGGTATTCGGTAAGAAAATTCCACACCATTTTTTTTATTTACTTTGGGCTACTACAAGTGGTAGAAAATAAAAATTTAAAAGGTTTTTCGGAACGATGCATGAACAGATTTACAGCGCGTCACAGTTTTGGCAGAAATTTAGACCTTTAAATTGTTGATTTCTAATCGTTGTAGTTGCACGAAAATACCATCTCAAGACACAACATAGTATATTCTTTAATTTAAGTTTTGAGAACTACAAGTGGTAGAAAATTGCTTTTTTGCATTTTTATTAACTTTTCATACGCGCTTTATTGGTATGGAATTCATAACCAGTGTGCAGCGTCAGCAAGCTTCAATCATTGAAGGCTGTGATCATCGTATTTTGACAGTTCAAAAGATCAGAAAAACTCGCTTTTTGTTGTAATAAAGAATATTGGGCAGCCATTAAAACCAACCAAATTTTTGTTTTAAAAATGAATCAGTTTGAAAATCATACTATATGCAAAATATGCGTGAAATGACTTATTTACCCGCATTAATAGAGGATTGTAGCTCCTACTTGAAGAAAAAAAATTGGTTTCGAATTGTTCACGAATATTTGCATCTAAACTATTCAAATTTCAAAGTGCTAAATGGAAAAAAAGGTGAATAGAAAAGTGTCTAAATATTATAGGTATATATTTCATTAGACATTTAATTCATTCCATTCCAAGTCCTAAGACTAAGAAGAAAGGAGGTGTCCAAAGAATATATAAAACATCTTAGCTTTGTAATTTAAATGTATCAAAATTATCATGTAAACAAATAAAAACCAGATTGTCAAAAAAATATTCTGTAATTATAAACGACGAAAAAATGTTCATCCGTTGCCATGGTGATCTGTCAAAAATACACGTTTTGATTGGTTAAAAATTACAGGTGTGGAATTTTCAGTAAAATATAAATTATTAAAAAGGATTTTTATTAAAATCTTACTTTTAGTTTTAAAAATGTATAAAAGCTTATAATAATTCTAACTAAATTAACAAATTTAACTAATAATTAAAAAATCTTTATAAAAATAAAAATCCAGGCAAAATAAAATTTTCTATTTTTTTTTCACAGGTATTTAAAAAATATATATTATTTATTCTTTATGTTAAAAGTTGTTTAGGATAAAAAAACAATAAAAACATGAAAAATCATCAGAAAAAAAGCAAAAATAAAAATCTTCATAAAAGGGAAAAAATAGGAAAATGAAATTATTTTAAATTTATTTTAGTATCCCGGTGCATTCGCCATTTTTTAAACTTAATTGTAAATTAAAAGAAAAAAATTAATATTTATTTTTTATGTTATGAAAATAAAAATGGAGGCAAATAAAAGTATTTTAAAATTGTTTCAAATTGTATCCCATTTTCTATTTTTATAATTAAAAAAAAAAATTATTAATTATTTATGTTAAAATTTTTTTGCCCTGTTCAGTACAAAAAAAATAAAAAATATGAAAAATCATCATAAAAAAGTAAAAATAAAAATCTTCATAAAAAAAAATAGGAAAATGAAATTATTTTAAATTTATTCTACCCCGACGCATTCGCCATTTTTTAAACTTAATTGTAAATTAAAAGAAAAAAAATAATATTTATTTTTTATGTTATGAAAATAAAAATGTGGGCAAATAAAAGTATTTTAAAATTGTTTCAAATGGTATACAATTTTTTTAAATTTAAAGAAAAAATATTTATTAATTCTTTATGTTAAAAATTCTTTGACCTGTTCAGTATAAAAAAATATAAAAACATGAAAAATCATCAAAAAAAGTAAAAATAAAAATCTTCATAAAAAGAAAAAATAGGAAAATGAAATAATTTTAAATTTATTGTAGTATCCCGGCGCATTCGCCATTTTTTAAACTTAATAGTAAATTAAAAGAAAAAAATGAATACCTATTTATTTTTTATGTTAAAAATTATTGTTCCAATTTAAATCTAAAAATATGAACAAAATAATGAAAAATCGTCATTTGAGAATATAAAATATTAAAAGGGATTTTTATTATAATCTTACTTTTAGATTTAAACATGAATATTAGTTTATAACAATTTTAACAGAACTAACTACTTTATCTTATAATCTTATAAAAATAATAATTTAGGCAAATAAAAATTGTTTTAAATGGTATACCATTTTCTTTTTTGTATATTAAAAGACAAAAATATTATTGATTCTTTATGTTAAAAATTAATCTTTAGAAGAAAAATTAAAATTATAAAAATCCTAATTTTAGACTGAGTAAAAAAAACAAACTTATTAAAATAATTACTAAACTATCAAAATAAATTTAAAACAAAAAATTATCAAAATCATTAGAAATAATAAAAAATTCTTGAAATTGTAGTCATTCAACTAAGTGTTTTTCCCTGTTATCTGCGCAGCAAATACTTAATTTGGTAATCTAGTCTTTTTGATTCATTATCAAGTTACACACAACAAACACGTAAACAATTGTTTGTACAGCAACTTTTTTCCGTG